GGATTCTACACTTGTTCCATTGTCGCCACCAAAGACAGTTGAGACAATTGAGACGGTTGAGACAGAGAGAATTGTTGAAGAGATTCGACGAGAGGAGCCTAGAGAGCCTGATGTGCAAAAATCGACCACATTTGATGATAATTTCAGTTGGTATGATGCAATTGTGGAACAAGAAAAACTCTTGGCCTCTGCAGAACCATCAGATATTCAATATGTTGAGAAAATTTCCACTGAACCACAAATTCCTGCTGAAGTAACTGTTGTTGAGGAGGCACCGCAACCTCAGTCATCAAAATCCTGGGCCAGTGTTGTTGGTTCATTTGTTAGTAATCTCTTTGAATCCACACCAAAACCTCAACAACCAGAAGTAGTTGTCCAGGAGAAACGAAGAGAAAGCAGCCCTGATAATTTGAAATCAACTTCTGATTCTGATGACAAAGCTCAGAAATCAACAGAAAGGAAATCAGTCAAAACGAAGAAAATGCCTGTGGCGAAAGAACCCGAACCGGACAAGAAGAAGCAACCAAAGAAAGCTAAGAAGGGAAAATCCTCTGGCGAAGAGTCACCAAGTTCTGAAAAGGGTGACGATAGTGAGTGGATAATTTTATCTACACCAAAAGATGAGGATCCACTAAAGCCTGAACCCAAAGCTGAATTGGAGGTTGTTCCTGGCAAAATCGAGTCGAAGAAAGAAAAGCAGAAGAAGAAAAAGAAGTCGAAAAAATCTTCATCTTCACCTGATTTCGAACAGGAAGAGACAGTGAAAGAATTTGAGAAAGAGGAAGAGATTAAACTCGGAGCAGCTCCAATTGATCAGCCGGAAGTAAAAGAAGTAGTTCAAGAGGACACACCTGAAGAGAAACCCACTAAGAAATCAAAGAAGAAGTCAAAGAAGCCCAAAAAGCATCCGGAAAAGCAGACTTCATCAGACAGTCTCGAACAGGATTGGGTTGACGTGAAACCTATTAAGGATGAAATTCCACCTCCGACTGAGACTTCTCAAATTACAAAAACAGTGACAATAATTCGTAAGAAAATCATTCGCTACGTGGTTATAGAAAATGGTGTTGAGCGCGTAACAGAAGAAATCAGTGAAGAGCCTGTTGAAGTGGAAGTCACTGGAGACGAACTTCCAATTTTGCTACCGGAAATAATTACAATAGATCAATCACCAACTGCTCCTGTGAGCGAAGAGCCATTCTTTGTTGATACACCGGTACAGGATATTCCTCAATCTGAGTCCTCACTTCCCGACAAAATCACTGAACACATCACAAAGAGAGTCACTATAATCAGGAAGAAAATTATTCGGTACATTACAATAATTGATGGGCGAGAGCAAGTGAATGAAGAGATGGTTGAAGAACCTGTTGAAATTGAAGTTATTGGCGATGAAATTCCAGAGTTAGAGCCTGAAATTGTGGTAGTGAAGGAATTGGAATTGGAGCCAGTTTCTCGTGAAAAACTTTCTTCAACTGAACCGGACGATCTCCCCAAGAACACTGATGAAGTGCCGAGGAAATTGGAAGTAGCAACTGAAATAGTAATTGCGGAATCGAAAGAAACTCCTGTAGATTCTGAACCTGTCGTTGAGACAAAAGAATTGAAAGAGAAAGAAATGCTAGTGAAAGAAGAGAATATTCCGAAGCCTCAAGAAAAGGTTACTGAATTCGAAGAGGAAAATTTGGGTAAATCAAAGAAAAAGAGTAAGAAGGATAAAAAGAAGAAAAATGTACCAGAAGAAACTCAAAAACAAGACTTGAAGGATATTCCACAATCTGACGACAAACCTCTTGCTGCAGAAGAAAAACCATCTGACTCAATCACGGAGAAAATTACAAAGATTATCACGATAATCAGAAAGAAAATCATTCGCCACGTGAAAGTCGTCGACGGAAAGGAACAAGTGACTGAGGAAGTCATTGAGGAGCCCGTTGAAGTTGAGGTTGTGGGCAACGAAATCCCGACACTGGAACCGGAAATCGTGATTTCTCACGTGGAAGAGATAAAAGAAGTGATTCCTGATCACGCTGTAATTGAGGATGAGCGCAATGTGAAGAAAACGGTTGAAGAAAATCCTCCCGCTGAAGTGGCACAAAAGGAAGAATCAGTGGAACTTGTTTCTCAGCCCGATGCAGTTCCTCAGATAGTGGAAGTGGAGAAAACGGAAGTGATTGTCGTGGAAGAGCCTGCGAAAGTGGTGGAAACAGTTCCAGAGACAGTGGGAGAGAAAATTGAGATTGTCGAGAGTATTGTGGAGAAGGAACCCGAAGCAAAACCTCTTGATGTGGCTTCAGAACCTCAGATTCTCCAGACTGTGACGATTGAAGAAACTGTGGAGCGTGTAAAGGAGCCGGAAATCACCCTTGAGAAGGTTGGAAAGAGTGACATTCCTGAAGTAGTCGAGACTGTTGAGAAAACAGAGATTATCTCCGATGCTCCTGTTACAGTTCTTCCTGAGAAAACAACAGAAAAAGTCACGCGCACAATTACAATCATGCGGAAGAAGATTATCCGTCGAGTGATCGTGGTGGACGGGAAGGAAAATGTGACTGAAGAGGTTGTTGAGGAGCCCGTTGAGGTGGAAATCGTGGGCGACGAGGTTCCAATTCTGGAGCCAGAGATTGAAGTGGTGAGAGAAGTGATTGAGGTGAAACCCGTCGAGGAAGTGAAGGAAATACAACCGCCTGTTGAGGAGAAGGAAATATCCGCGGTCGTGTCAGGCGATGAAGAGCCCCGAACGGAGACAATCGTGAGGGAGACGAGGGTGATCACGATCATCCGGAAGAGGATCATTCGCCACGTGACGATCGTGGATGGAAAGGAGGAGGTGAGGGAGGAAGTGATCGAGGAGCCAGTGGAGGTGGAGGTGTTCGGGGATGAAATGCCATCCCTGGAGGATCTCCTGCCCGAGGGCGAACTGGAGACGGTTGAGAATGTGACTGAGGAAGTGATTCGGTCTGGCCAGAAAATCATCCAGCACATCGAGATAATTGATGGGAAGGAACACGTGACTGAGGAGGTGATTGACTTGCCCGAGGAGATTGAGATCATCGGGTCGTCGGACACTTCTCTGGAAATCATCCCGAAGGAGAGTGTCGAGACGGTGATTGAGAAGATCGCTGCGCCTGTGGTGGAGAAGGTGGAGAAGCCCGCGTACGCAGGATTGCCTCTTGACGAGTCTTCCGATGCCTGGATGGATGTGGACGAAATGGTATTTTCCGAAGACGAAGAGGAAGTGCTTCCACAAGAGACCTCAGCGAAGGAAAATGATCGCTCAATGGAAGAGGTTGAAATTGTCTCAAAGGTTCTTGAGCCTGTTGTTGATAAGAAGGCATATGCTGGATTACCTATGGCTGATACTTCTGATGATTGGATGATTGTTGACGAAATGGTGATGTCAGATGAAGAGGAACCTGAGAAGGCAATGCTTTCATATCCTCCTGAAGCGGTCAGTGTGAGTGCTGTGATGGAAGGATTAGCTAATCCTGAGGAAATTTTATATGATGATATTCTGCAAGAAATATGGACTTCAAATGTACAGTTGGACACTAATTTCTGGCCGAACAAATATCTCTATAACGATGCTGAAAAAGCATTTATTGTTCAGCAGCAAATTCCTCCCAAAGATGATAGTGATATGCAATTGAAGCGCAACTTGGCACAAGATTTGTCTTCCTTACCTGATATATTCTCATTGTCCGACGCTGAGCGTTTGTGGCAAACGTTATTAAGTCACGAGCGCCCAGAGAGAGAGGTTTCCGTTGATGTTGATGAGTCGGTGAAAGAGCGAAAGGACGATGATGACGATGAGGATAGAGAGAGTCACAAGTCAGATTCTCCGGTACCACTGGTAGTTAATATAGACACTCGAGTGTCTTCACGGGACACAAGGGACCTTTGCGATTTGCCGGGTGGTGGCAAATGGAGAGGGGAAAGCACATATCTGAGCATTGAGAGTATCGGTGATTATCCGGAGACGGCACACGAAAGTGAACAACACCCAATCCAATTGGAATCTACTAACATTACCCAAACTCCTCCACCCAGTCCCGTCCAAACGCCCATCCTTGAGAGTCCCCCAGACCTCTTCCTGCCGCCCAATACAGGAATCTCTGATCGTATCATCGCACACAGTACTGAGCCTTTAGTAGTGACCGAACCGTCAGACAACTCCGTTCAGTTGAACAAGAAGGTGAAGTCATGTCTCTTGTGCAAAAGCTATTTTACCACATTAAGTTTATTTTTTTTATTTAATCGATTACGTACCAATAAGCGAAATATCTTATAGTACTCCCCTTTAATATCTGCCCTGATAAATACTCCCCAAGAAATTAGATGATTTTGTGAAGGAAAATTACATTCAGTTTCAGCGAGGAATCACTTGTAGCATTTAAAAGCCAAATGAACATTTATTGAAGCTAATTTTAAATCCATTGTATGTCATCATGATATTTACTCTCAACATTTTATACAGAGCATTAAGTTCAATTTATCTTCTGCGATTTGACTGTTATTTATAGAATGAGAGAATGTTTTTGCGTACCACGTTCGGCTTTATTTAGCTGTGTTTTACATATAGTTAAGGCCATTAAAGCGTTTCTATGTCAGTTACAAAAGTTCATCATTGGCTACATATACATTTTTGCATTTCCCATTAATGCAAATGCAAGAAACTGACTGTAATTTTGACCAATACTTTATATGCGAAGAATTGTATTCGAGTCTGTATTTTAATTTGACTAAATTCCCATTGTGCTAATCCACTTCGAAATTATATATTTGAGAGTTTTGTTTTATACTAATCAAAACCAAAATTTGGCTGAGAAACTGATTTGGCGAATATATGTAGACTGAAATTCAAAATTGACATAAACCAAAGTTTTGTGCATGTTTCCTGTAATGTGTCATATGTAATTCAGAGTCATTTTAATGATTTACAAAATCCCTTTGATCAATCTATTTCGTGTTACTTACTTGATGCTTTTCTCAATGGACAGGATGCTGTGACAAGAGAAATTGATCAGTTGCTGGCTTCAATTGCAAGTACTGAGAGAGATCTCGTGAATTTGTCCAATGAGGACTTGACGAAGATGCTGGAGAAGTTGAGAGATATCCTAGAGGCGCTTAAGACTCACGACAGTGAAGCAACTGTTATCAAAGAGAATGTTTCCATAGAGGAACCTGATCAGGATGTGGACAAAGCTCTCACGACAATTGACAGCAAGATTGAGAAATTGGTTGCAAGAGCCACAAAGGCATTTTCACTTGTTGAGGTAGTATTTCTATAATTAATCTTGACTCTTCGATAATTTGATTTTCCGCAATTTATTCACAGGATGCTATAAATCAGCAGCAAATGCGTCAATTGGAGCTGAAGAAGTATAGTCAGTTGCAACAAGAGATTGAGAATTGGCTGTTGTCCATTCAAATTCCATCAACAAAGACTGATCAGGAGATAAATACAGTTGAAGGAGTGCAGGAAATTGTGGCTGATCAGCTGCAATTGATTGAGGATATCACGAGTAAGGAGCAGAGATTGCAGAAGATTCGTGATAAGTGCCAAGAGATGCAGTCGCAGGAGCACGTGAGGAAATTAGCAACAACCTTGACTGAGCAATTCACCATAATTCTCACTCTTCTGGAGACAAGGAAGCAATCAACACTAAATTACATTGCGAAACTGAAAACGAGAGAGGATGAGCTGGTGAGGGGCAAGAAGGAGGATGATAAGGATACACTCGAGTCCATGTCGATGCCAGAGGAGGAACCGGATGTGCAGAGGATGACCATTGAGACGCAGACGAGTGTGAGAGAGGAGAAGATTCAGGATGATGAGACTCAGACGAGTTTCCCGCTGTTAGAAAGCGCACCACGAGATACTCAGACAACATTTGTCCAGACACAGGATGAACGTCGTCCCACTGACAACATCACAGTTCTGCACACATCTGATGAGGAGAAGGAGACATTCAAGATTGATAATCAACTCAATCAACCCATTTCCAAGGATGAGCGTCCATCGGATGTTCTCGTGGAGGCGAAGTTCAATCAGACACAGCCTGGAGGTGGGCCAAGAACGTCCGAGTTGGTGCTGAGGAATGTTCCACAATCATTTGAGACCACCTTTGTGGAGCCAGATGAAACGACAACGGAAGTTGTAGTGGATTCTGACGGGACGAAGAGGATCATAGTGAAGAAAGTGAAGAGAACCCGAGTTCAGCGGGAAATTATCACTCAATCAGTAACTGTGGGAGCTGAGAGTATTCCTCAGGTGCAGGAAGAGATTACAGTAGAGGAAATTCCACTTGCTCCTGGACAGGAAGATGCTCTTCCAGAAAACTTGGCTGCTCTTGAACAAGCGGGAACATCCACTATACAGACAATAGTGCAGCATGTGACGAGAAAGATTGTCCGCAAGACTAAGAAAATCATAAAGAAGGTGACCATAATTGATGGGAAGGAACATGTGACAGAGGAAGTTGTTGAGGAGCCCGAAGAGGTTGAAATCAGTGAGGAAGAACTTCCCAATGTCAACATCAATCTGACTAGTGGAGTTGATGAATATGTTATCGAAGAGCCTGTTGTGGAGGAAAAGGATGAGGTCACATATGAAATCGTGCAGCCTGAGAGTGTGTCACCAAAGGAGGTGAAGTCGAAGGAGAGTAGCAGAGATACAAGTGGCAGTGACGATAAAAATAAAGGTGAAGAAGATCGTCAGGTATTAGAATCACTTTCTGCACCAGTAGATTTGCTACCTTCAACTGCACACGTAGATGTAATTCAACCAAATGTTGAAATTGCAGAAAAAGAAGATGTAAGAGATGGAAAAGAAGAAGAAGAAGAAAAGACAGTTGAAGAATCTGCGGCACTTCCATCGCCACTTGTTCAAGAAACACTAGAAATTACTCAGACAGCGCCTGAGCAACCGGTGGAGGGCATCCCTGCACAGAAAGAACTAATCCTCACAGATATTCAAGAAATTTGGCCCACAACGATTAAAACTGACGAAATTCCCGTACATTTATTAGATAAAATCTCCATTGGTGACGACACTCAGATAGCAATCGATCACACAACGGATGGCATTTGGCCGACCAATCCAGACATTGGGGCCGATGTTGATTTACAACGATATGGCGTGTCTGTGACGGAAGTTGAGCATGTCATTGAGACGGTAGAGAAGCATCCTGAGGAGAAATCCTTGGAAATCACCGAAAAGCCTGTGATTGATGAACTGAAAGCAGTTGCAGAGGTTGTTGAAACTCAACAGCCTTCTCCATCTGAACCGTCAACACCCTCAGAGCCTTCAGAAAAGGTCACTGAACCAGCGAAACCCACTCGTGCTGACGACGAGGCGGAGAGAACAAGGATAAAGGTCACCCTCCCATCGCTGACATCACAAGCTGAGAGCATGCTCATCGTGGATATGAAAATGGATCCGAGTGAGCACACAAAAATCAATGTAAACCTAACAGAAGAGGTCTCCTTGGTGGCCCAACCAATTGAATCTCCGAAGATTTCCACTCCAGTAGAGAAAATCATTCCAGAGAAGGTGGTGATTGAGGTGCATGAGAAATTATCTGGCAGTGATGAGCAGGAAGTTCGTCAAACTGGCTACGAGCCCGAAGATGTGACTGTCGATGATGTCAATGAGGAGAGTCGCAAGAGTAAGCGAAAGAAAAAGAAAAAGCAGAAGATAAAGGCAAAAGATGATGAATCCAGTGAAGTGTCCAAGTCTGCTGACGAGAAAGAATCTGTTCATAGTGAACCAAAGTCCACAGAGCAAGAGAAGTCATCCGTGCAGCAGGGAGTAGAGCGAGAAATCACCCCGGACGAGTCATACGCCAGTATTTCTGAGTACTCTGAGGCTGATTCAGTGAGAATCATGGAGGAATCGGTCATTCAATCACCGCCTCCGGATGACTTGAAGCCCATGCCAAGTGAATTGGTAACGACTGTACCTGTGATAGACACAATGTATGTGGAGGAGAGTGAGCAGCAAACTTCCTTGCCATATGAGGAGGTATCTCGAGAGGAAGCTCCTCGCCTGAGTGCTCCGAAGGAGGCTGTGATTCAGGAGGAACACTCTGTACAAACATCGCCAACTCCTCAACAGCCAGTTACAGAAATTTCCCAGCAAACGAGCCCAGAACCAGAACCTGACCATCAAGAAACTGAATCTCAGACAATTGTAATTGAGTCCACTGAGGTGGAGATTCAAACGACGCCAGTGAAGATGTCTGATGAGGAGCCAGTGGTGATAGTCAAACCAGAGGTGACTTCAGAAGAAATTCAAACAGAACCTGTGGTATTTGAGGAGAAAGTGGAACCACAGCCCATTGTTGAGACGTCTGATAGTACTTCGCAAACAGTTATTCTGGATACTCGTGAGCAGAATTTGCAAACATCTCCAATGGAGTCTCCTGAACATCGTCCTAAGGAAGTGGTCAGCACTGAAGAGGACGTTAACAGGATTGCTGCCAGGATTGTTGAAGAGATTGTCGCCGGAATTCCTACACCCACAGCCACTCAAGAGACCAACACAGAAACTGTGACGATTCAGGAGGCAACAGTTCAGACAACTCCTGAAGTTCCAGCCGCTATTGCTCCTTCTCCTGAGGTTCCAGATGATTCCTCTCTTTCCACCACTACCAGTGAACCATATGAGATCCACGTGAAAGCATCCTTGATCTATCCTGAGGGTGAACAACCACAGAAGATTCCGGATAACTTTTCAGTTGAAGTCACGCGAACGTTCGATCTTGAGGACGATGATGGTCCGAGAAGTTTCCATGAAATCGTGGAGATTCCCTCGAGTGAGGAACCAACTAAGCCGAAAACTGTGACCATTTCTCTGACAAAGAAAACAGTTGTGGATGAGTTATTCGATGAGCCTGATGCTAAGGAGGAGCAGAGAAAGGTAGAGAGATTGCTGGAGGGCAGATTACGAATGGCCCAAGAAGCCAGGGAATCTCCACTCAGTAATGTACTCCATTTGGCTACTCTCGGAGAGTCTCTGACAGAAGAACCGGCAGAAGAACGCCTAGAGGCTCTGCAAGAAGATCTTCTGGAACTGAGAAATGCCATTCAGCGCCAGGATTCACAAGTGATCCAAAGAACTGTAACCATAATCTTCGAAAAGATTTCAATCTGGTTGGAGACAATTGAGTACAGGGTCTATGTGACGCGCCAGTCTGCGTCTTCTGGACCAACAGAGAAGCGAATTGGGGAGTTCAATGAGCTCCGCAATGAGCTGGAATGCATTCAAAATTATGTGGAACATCTCAGAGCAGATCTGGAGCAGCCTATGCAGGATGTGGAGAGTGATAACATGGTGCAGTGTGTAAATGTGATTGTTGATCATCTCAGGGCAATTGACAATGTGACTCAGTCCAGTGAAATTCAGGTGCAGGAAGACTTCCGGCGCTTCAGTGAGTATCAAATGAATGTCGATGAATTGCAGCTCAACATTCAGCAGTTGAGGAACAACTTGGATCGCATTGTGTCTGAAGAGATGGGCCTGGACAAGAAACTTCATCTCCTGGATGAGTTTGATGACATTAATCGGGCCTTTGGAAAGGAGGTTCAGAGACTAATTTATGTGGCTCGTGGTCTTGAGAGAGATTTCCCGGAGAAGGAAACTCCTGAGCAGATTTTCATGTGCCGAGAAATGGTGGCGAATCTTGAGGGGAGTATCAATATTGAAAGGAATCGTCTCAATCAGCTGGTGAACTTGGCTCAGGAGTATGAGCAAACACTGAAGGAATTTGCCAAGATCATTCTCATCGCCGATTCTCTGGTCGAAAGTCAGATTACTACAAACAATCTGGATAATCTGCAGAATGAAATTCAAAAGCACAGGAAATTCTTCGTCAATCTCAGCCACTGTCGAGCTATTCTCGAGTCGCTGGAGATGAACTTAGATCCAGTGACGAGAGAAAAGCATTCTCAGTTGCATCAGACACTGCACGAGAGCGCCACGACGATCCTGGACAAGGCTTCCGACCGTGCCCAGAGACTGTCAATGGCGGCATCCCGATGGACGGTGCTGGAGCGTGGAATGAAAGAGGAGAAGCAGTGGCTGCAGATCGCTCAGCAGAGAATCCCTGATCTCTCAGATGTCACCTCCACGGATTATGACCAATACATCAACATGTACCAATCGTTGAGTTCAGACATTGCACATCATCACGCCAAATTGGTTCAGCTGACCACAACGGCAGTGAAACTACAAGAACTCGTGTCGGCGTCGAATGTTGAGGACGACTGCAATGAGCAACTGTTCATGATACTCAAGTTGAAGGAAGATGTTGCTCTACATCTCAAGAAGCTCCTCAAGTTCCGTCAGTACTGGATTCTGTACGAGACAACCACGGACAAGATTGAGAATTGGATCACAACGAGTGAGCATCATTTGGAGAAGATTGAAATTCCCAAGTTCTTCAAAGATTACCCACTGGAGCATATGCGTCTGTTTTGGGACATCAAGGCGGAGTTTGAATTGTACAATTCAATCAAAAATGACGCCACAAGCAATCTCGAGAGAGCTCTCGAGGTGGTTCCAATAGCTGATGAGCTGCTGCAGAAGGAATTCCATGAGCGATTGGAGTCCAAGTGGCTCAATGTGGAGGAAAAGATTCAGAAGATTCAGCAATCAATCGTGGACAGCATGTCGGCATCCAATGTGCCCACAGATGAGAAGTTGTCACTGCTGCAGAAGGAACTGGAGGAATTGGAGAAATCCATGGCGACCACTAAAGGTGTCATCAAGAGTCAGGATGAGCTGCAATTGTACATCGAACGCATGCAGATTCTCAACAGTCGCGTTGTGATTGTTGGGACAGAACTGGGCCGAATTGGTCTGACTTCATCATCTGACTCTGAGCGAATTGGACGCCTCTTTGGTGTCTCCCATCGGATTTCCATGCAAATCTCTGAGGAATTGGATGGAGCTCTTGTGCTACAGGATCAGCTGAACAAAATCTCTCACGGCATTATCCGAATGCGGCTCCTGCAGCAATCTGCGGGAGAAACACTGAACCAGTGCGAAGCCATTGATCTCTCGGGAAGTGAGATTGTGGAAAATGCCCTGTACGACTGCCAGCGAGTGCACAGCGATCTCAAGAACCACTGGCAAGGCATAATGGAGCTGAGACAACTGCTTCACACCCTTCCCATGCGCCTGAAGATCTCAGTTTCGCCCGTGATGCTGGAGAGGGACATTTCGCAGCTCCAGGACGACCATGTGCTTCTCGAGTCGAAGTGTGAGAAAGTGCTGAGTTCTCTCCGCGGTGCTTTGCACCTGTGGAAGACCTTCGAGAAGCAACTGGAGCAAGTGCAGCAGTCCATTCAGCAGACGGACTACATGGTGGAGTTGCTGAAGGTGCATGGCCAAGTGGACTATGAGCGTCTCGTGAAGGCAACGGAACGACTTCAGGTAATTACACAACTTTAAACTGATAGTGTTCGTCTTGAAAGTTGCAATTAAATGCAAATTGGGGTTGCATGATATTGATTAAATCTTCCCTTGTATCTGAGGAGTGTTCATTAGTTTGTGGGGTGCTGAAGAAGTGAGACCAGTTTTGTAATCCTCTCGGTCTTTGTTTGATTTCAGGGACTTCACGGAGATTTGGACAATCATGAGGATCTCTTGGAGGACTTGAAGTGCTCATCAGAACCACTTATTGAGATTTGCAGTGAAGAAGTGGCACATAAAATTGAGGTGGCTGTTCAAGAGACAATCCACGCATGGAACGAGACATCGCAGAACCTCACGGATCTGTGCAATAAGTACCAGAGGGCTGTTCGTCTGTGGCAACAGTACAGAGATGCTACAGAAGCATTGAACAACTTTGTTGACGAGAAGGAGGGCGAAGTGAAGATAATGGATCCCAACGGTGATCTTCAGTATATAAAGGTGACTTTCTGAGAGTAATTGCCATTCCAGATAACATGTTTGACATACCAATTTTTCATTATCCTCCAGGAATGCCTCAATGCTCTTCCGTTATACAAGGAACGTTTGGCCGAAGTTCGTAAAATGGTGGATCAAATCTCCTCCGACATTGAACTAGAGCCCGGGAACTTGCTGGAGATGGACGTTGAGGCTCTGGGAAGTCGGCTGGAGACGATGAAGGAGGCAATAACAGTATTGGCGGATGAGGCGGAGAAGAAAGCGCGCCAAACCGTGGAGTTGGAGAAGGAAGTGCGTGACTCGCAGAAGCAGTTGGAGGCGACGCAGAAGGCTATTGAGGACATTCCTGAAGAAATTGCCACAGAAGAGCATTTACTGAATCTTCGCAATCATCTGGTGAAATTGAACTGCACGCAGAATCAGCTTCAGAAGATGCACAGCACGAAATTGGAGCAGAACATTACCACTAATGTATCCATTGTGGAAGTGCTGAAGATCTGGCAGAGGCTGTTCAAGGACACTTTCCAGCAGTATTACAGACTGTCGTCAACCCTAATACAAAATGAGGATATTGATGCCGTGCTGAAACTCTGGGAGGACTACTTGAGGCACGTGCAAACATTCCTGGCCACGAGCATTCCACAGAACTACTCAAGCCTCTCAGATCATCGCCACATTTGCGAAGTGCACCAGAATCTGCTGGTGAGTCAGAAGAATGTGTACGAGATGAATGTGAAACCTCACGTGGCGGAGAGATTCACTGACCTGGTGAGACTCCACAATGATGTGCTGCAGAAGCTCAATATGAGACATTCCGAAGTGGAGGAGAGGATCAATCTGTGGGACAAGTACAATCGCGAGATGACGGAATTGCTGGAGTGGCTCAGAGATATGGAACAGAGTCGAACACGCATGCAGCTGAGCTATCTCAATCTGCGGCGAGTGCCGAAGATTAGACAGACTCTGGAGAGTATCCTGGGACGAGTGGATGAGGGTGAGGTGAAGTCCAAGGAGTTGAAAGAGCAACACGGTGTCTTGCTGAAGTTCTGCGATGACGCTCTTGGGACGTCGATTAAAATGGGTCATGCGGCGGTCAACCAGCGGATTTCTAATCTCAAAGCCGCCCTCGAGACGTGGCTGGACTTTGTCAATCGCATAGTCCACTTGGAGAATGTGTACAGGCAGAAGGTGGCATATGTGCAGGATTCACTGCAAACCACCCAGAAGCTCTACACGGAAATGAGTCAGAAGAACCAGGTGACTGACAAGAACATCAAACAGCAGATAAATGATCTGCGAGAAAGGAGGATTGATGTGAACAAGTTGAGTGTAGATCTGGAGCAGATTGGAGTGGTGCTGGAGGAGATGAAGGAGTGCGTGAGTCCGTATGACCTGAAGTCCATGAGGCAGATTGTGTGGATCTTGTGGCAACAGCAGGGCGACCTAAACCAACAGCTTGGCACTTTCATCAACAATCTCGTGGACAAGTTGTCTCTGTGGAAGATGTTCAATGACAAGTACACAGTTCTCAGTGCTTGGATGGATCATCTGGAGAAGAGAATAGAGATGGGCACTCAGTTTGTGTACGTGGGAGAACCCGAAGAGATTCAGCGGTATATTGAGAATGAGATAGCCACGGAGATGTCTTTCAAGGAGCGCGATCGTGACTGGGTATTATCATCTGGACGGCAACTACTCACACTGTTCTCAGACTCCGATAACCAGGCGCAAGCCATGGAGATCCAGGAGAAACTCAATACCATTATTGAGCGATGGGAGAAGTTGAAGTACCTCACGAAGGTGCGAGGAAATGAGCTGAAGGATCTCCGGCTGACAACGATGCGTCTGGAGATTCGCATCGCGGAACTGAGATCGTGGCTGTTCAAGATGGAGACTGAGGTGACGAGGCCACTGCATTTGGCCGATCTGTCGGAGGCGTCCCACAGGAAGTCCTGGCAAGAGCACGATGAGTTGCAGAAGGCAATGGAGAAGGAGTGCATCAACTTCGCTGAAGTGCTGAATCTCTGTGATATGCTCTTCAAGGATGTCAATACGTGGAAGTCCCACTTCAATATTGGTGCCTTGTCTGTGGCGATCAATAATGTGGAGAATCGATGGGCCAATGTGTGCAGTCTTCTTACGGCGCGTGGCAACAAAATCCTCACGATGTGGAATCTCTTTGGTGAATTGCAGAGACTTGACAACGAGAACAAACATTGGGTGTTGGAGAAGAAGCGACTCGTGGATGAGTTGCTGAGGGAGAAGGTGCCGCGCGATGAGTTGGCAGAGCGAGTGGAGTTTGTGCGGGAGCAGATTGAGGACGTGCGGATGAGAGAAGCGGCACGGCATCTTCAGGAGAAGAACTATCACGGTCTTGTGGCTTCCAATACGCTGGATACGAACAATATAAACGAGTTGCTGGGTGATTTGCCGATCGTGCTGAACGACTGGAGCACTCTGTTGCCGGCTCTCATGGCTCTTCACGAGAGACTGCAGACTGACCTGTGTTTGTATGGGAAGTTTGTGCAGTCTCACGAGAAAGCAGTGCTAAATCTCACCCAGATTGACGCTCATCTCACGCAAACGGAGCACCAACTGCCTGCCGAAGAAGCGTCTGCCAGCAAATCGCAACAAATCCTTGCAGTGGAGGAGGAACTGAAGGATTGCTCTGAGCTCCTTGAAACTGCGGACAAACTTGGTCTTGCTCTGATGGAGACAGTGCCCGATGTGGCGCCCATTCAAGCCATGGTGGATGAATACCAGAATCTCTACCGCGACATCAGTCAGAGATTGGAGAGTCTGCGCGAGAAGTACGTGGCTGAAGTGGATGAGAGTGTCCAAGTGAACACGCTAACTTTCGAGCAGGATTCTGCAGTGCAAGTCAACACTCTCACATTCGTCACGGCTAAGGATGCCTACATAATGGAACTGAAGTCTGCCATCAAAGAGATGAAGAACAATCTGACCAATCTTGAAAAAGCTCTGAATGACACTGAAGCAAAGAGTTTGAGAACCATAAAATCCAACAAGATTGTGGCAGCTTGTGAGTCTTCAGTGGAGCTCATCAGACACTTGAGTATGCTTCTGAAGACGGAGTGCAACTCAACAGATGACGAGGCGAGTGTGGAAGAAGTGAAGGATTTACTGGCAAAACATGAGAATCTTATGATTCTTTGGCGATCGAAGGAGCAGAAATTGCAGGAATTGAGGTGAGTTTCTATTTTGTTACACTCGCATCTTATGCTAGATAAATTGTGATCATATTCCCTCTCATTCATTGGACGCAGACTTAATTTTCCACCTAATTATTGCTTCAATTGCTTACAGTGAGTATATCACGGCTCAGATCCCTCATTAGACAACTATAGGATTTATGTATATAATTGTTTCCTAAGTTCAAAGATAGCTTATTGTGTAAATTTGTTTGTCTTTCAGTGACTTGGGTCGATTGACGTGTCCTTTGTGCACACAGAAGAATTGGCAGCAGATTGACAATGATCTGTGGCGTCTGGAGCAGTGGCTTCAGTTTGCCGAGGGCACGCAGAGACTCCAAACGTCCCCGCCGGCTAACATAAGTGACTTGGAGGACGTAATCCAGGACCACCGCGAGTTCCTATTGGATCTCAACAGTCACAAGAGTATCGTGGCGTCGCTGAATGTCGTGGGCGATCACTTGGCCACCCACACTCTGGACACGGAACGGGCTGAGCAACTGCGCGAGCGCCTCGAGAGGAATAATCAGCGCTGGGAGAAGGTTTGCCAAAATGCAGCCAAGTGGCAATCATCGCTCCAAACGACTCTAATGGGGAACAAGGAGTTCCACTCCATCATCGACGAATTGTGCACGTGGCTTGAGTCCACAGAGGCGAAGATTCGTGCGGCTGAGCCAGTGGATCTCACGGTATCGCGTGAAATCATGCTGACGAAGTTCCGCCGATTCCGCGATCTGAGGAGTGAATTGGAGCGCTGTGAGCCGCGCGTGGTGAGTCTCCAGGAGGCCGCCGATCAGCTACTCAAAGCATCCACAGAGTCTGGCTCTGAAGAGTCCTCCGCTGTGATATACACAAGGTGGGCATTGCGCATGCATTTTTACGCCTGGGGAATATCATTATCACTCTGTACTCCAAATACTATTATCTCAGTCTTACTTCCAGACTCACCGATCTCCGGCTGAGATTGCAATCGCTGAGGCGCTTGACGGGCGTGTATGTGGTGAAATTGGGAGCGGTTTTAGGGGTGGAATCCACGGAGATCTCCCTGCGCACTGTCTCGCCGTACCAAACACAGTCTACCAACGTAAGTTATCTCTCAATTTACTCCATTTTCCAACGTATAGTTGCAATGAGAAGAGCTTCCTCGGTTGTATAATTGAAATATCGGAAAAACGAGGTGCAGAAAACGAATATTTCACAACGAGGAGAGCCGGGAAGTATTAAATCACACGCTAAGACACATAAATTGAACTGCTTTATTTCTTTGATGCAACATATTGATTTCATTGAGATTTATGAGTGAATATAGAGTCGGAAGAGCACAAGAAGTGTAATAATTGAAATTTATGACACATTAACTTATTATTTCGTAATCGATTGGAGTGAGAGTTACAACATGATTGATTTCTTTTCAATTGATATTCAGCAATTGGATGAATTTGGAGTTCCCCTTGAAGGAGCGCACTCATCACCGCAGTTAAATGAAGAGTAAATATATTTTATTTCCTTTTTTATTTCTACCCCCTTCCCATTGTAGGATGTTTTTGTAGGAGTCTTTATCAAAATTCCTGGAAATTATGTAGAGAGTAGAGAATTTTTCTGTAGATCAGTAGAATGTTGTGGTTTAGTGGAATGTAATTCATTCCCTACGCCATTGACAATAGTTGACCTCTGCATGGCCCCAAGCCTTTGAGATCCTTGATTCACAGGTGCATTTTCTAAAATTCCACTCGCATTGTCGTTGCAGCGGATCAAGTGGCGGAGACGAGATCAATACAAATGTGTTGGCGCGCGGCTATCGTTTCTTGGGCCGTGTTCTACGTGCTTCTCTTCCCATCCAGGCATTGATGCTGCTCCTTTTGGGTGTTGTTACTCTGGTGCCCCACGCTGAAGACTACTCGTGTATCTTCACCAACAACTTTGCGCGCAGCCTCGAGCCGATGCTGCGCTATCCAAATGGTCCGCCACCAATATAATAAGTTCAAAGCTGACTTACTCAATGGTATTTTAAGAGATGCCTTAAAATTTGTATGGTCTACGCAAGGACAAACGAAGTGAGGAGAAGGTCTTTTTCTGTTTAAAAAAAAACATCACTTTAACTCTATAAGTTGATATTAATTACCATAATACTATACAAGTGAAGTTGAATGCATGTAAGGTGCACAATGATTTTCTATGCGCGATGATGAAGACGAAAAAAATGGTAGCTCGTAAGAAACTCTCTTACTAGAAGAGATATCAAACAACAACTAATCTAAAAAATGCAACATGTAAGGAAAGTATTCGTGATTGCCTTGAGGATTGCATCAGACATTTGTGTAAATACTTGTTTAATATTCTCGTGGATGGAGGAAAAAAAAAGAAATTCTAGTCGTTTATATCGAAAGTGTTCCAATGCAGCCACATATCGATCTCTTCTGCTGAGCAAGTGGAACGGCTCAGCAGAAGGTGACAAGGTTGCATTATGAATTTCCAAATTTAAGAAACTATATATATATATATTAATGTGGGGAAAGTTAATTGTCACTTCGGCTCTCTCAACGAGGTGGTGATAATTTTGAGGAGAAATGAGAATTTCCAACGATTTTGTATGTTTTCCATATCAAATGTGTGATGCAATCTCATTCAACGGTGTACTTTACTGTAATCAGAAACGCTTAAAGGTGTGGTAAAATATTATTCATTATAAGATGATGAATAAAGCGACATCAATAAATTAAGAGTGACTTTTATTTGGGTTTCTTGGAGAAAATCGCTCTAAGGCTAGAGCAAGAGCTAGAGAGTCGCTAGAGCTGTATCAACTGACAATTGGCTTTTGAACATCCCTTCAAACTGTCTACATGCAGGCGTATTAAGAAGATTGAGTTATAAAACACCAAAATATGCATTAAGCATTTTCGCACCGTGTGAATAAAGGGTTAATTATCAAACCCCATAATTTCGGTTTCACAAAGAAGTAAATCATCACGGGAAAGACCAAAATGAGGTGGAATAAAACTTGACCTCGCTGAGCTCATAAACCATGAAGAAAGTACATCAGGGAACATTTTTATTATCGCAAAGCAATTTATTGTTCGGCGAAATGAATGCAGTATTTACATAACATTTTAATGAGCATTTAAATGTGATTTCAATTTTCTTAGTCTTTTTACTCTTCCCTGTTTCATGAAACCTTCAAGAAACTCGATGGTTCTTGATGCTTTGGTTTCCATGGAAGTTGTTTGGAGAAAGGCATTTTATCAAGTAAATAAATTTGAGTTTGTGCGAAATGGAAGCGGCTCAGGATGCACGAAGTGAAGCGAGTTTGTCTGAAGAGAGTGATGAAGGTGAGAATTTGCATTTCCCGTTTATGAATGGATAAAAATTCCCACAAAATCTGTCCTTATAGGGAAACAAAAAGAGGTAGTTGTTGAGGACAGTGAGCCCCAAATCCCAGTGCCTCAGTACAGCGAAGAGGAACTGGACAAGCTGGTGGAGTTTGTGCAGAATATGACCACTCTTTTCGATCTGCACGAGTCTGACTGGACAGAAGATTGCGTGGAGACAATCAGGAAGTGGTTCATGGACGTCACAGAGCTCGTGTTGCTTGTGTTCTACGATGGGAATGCTCTGAGTGCTTCGCTGGGCTTTCCCGCAACGCCAGCACTGGACTTCACATACTTTCTGCGACTTCCTGGACAAATCTTTTCACTTGATGGATTCCACGATGAAGTACAGTTTGGAACGATGCAAGAAGTTGATGGCTCTATGCTTACTCTCATGGAGATCATTTTCGCGCCCATCTTTTTCGACTACGAGTCGTGGTCGGAGAGCGTCAAGTCAGCTTGTCTGGAGAGTGTCCACGGATTCCTGGCCAGTGTGAATCACTTGCACTATAAAATGGCAGGACTCACGGTGCTCTATATTCCTTCAGAAGGGATGAAACTTGAGCCTCTGGAGGCGGTTAAGAATCCGAGACTGCTGAAGCGACTAGAAGCTGTGGCCACGCATTGGATGTCTCAAATCCGCACCGCTTTGTCCGACACTGACCAGATGAATCACGATACCATTTGTCCATCCGACGAGTATGATTTCTGGCTATACAGACGTAAGTAAAATCTTTCTGCTCAAGTTATGCATTTCAATCTCTTCACTTACCTTCAGATGAGACTCTCCTGGCTCTGACCATGCAGATAAAGTGCCGAGAAGTGGGCCGCATTATGGAGATTCTGGAGAAATCCCAGTCCATTTACCGGAAACAATTGGCCATTCTGTTTGAGGAGTGCCTGATGGAGCTGGAGCGCGCGGAATCCAATTACAAATTCCTCTCTATCCTGGTGGCTCCGAGTCGAGAGCTGGAGAATGCTGGTAGTCCACTGGACATTCCTGCAATGCTGCCCAAGATCATGCACTCTATTTATCTCATCTGGACACATTCCAGCTACTACAGCTCCTCCAAAGAGATCACTGGCCTCTTCAAAGCGCTCAGCAATCACATCATTCTCTATTGTCGCACAAAGATAGACACTTTGGGCATCCTGCGAGGGCGTCCCAACGAGGGTGTTCGCGTCTGTCTGATGGCTCTGGACTGCTGCATCGCCTACAAGGAGATCTACGAGAGCGTGAAGAAGCAGCACGAGGAGGGAGAGTGGCGAAGACTAGACGAGGCGGCAATCTTCAACCATGTTGATACATTTATGCGACGCCTCTGCAATATGGTGGACATTTGCGAGTCCATGATGGTTTTTGGACGCTACAATGAGACACAGAAAATCGCCGCGCCGCGCTTTGGTGGCACAAGAGGGCCTCAGTTCGAGAGTGCCTTCAGAGCCGTTGAGAAAATGTACAATGAGGGCCTGGAGGTGATCAAGAGAGAGTATGAAGTGATCTTCGATGTTCGCAACAACACTTGGCAGAAGACGATGGAAGAATTTAGAGGGATGCTGAAGGATCTCGAAGAGATTGTGGAGAATTGGATGGATCAGATATTCCAGACTGTGAAGAATGTGGATGAAGGAGTCGAGGCTCTTTGTGCACTGACGAACTTCTACAATAGGAAGTCGCTGCAGAGTGCTTATGTGACAAAGGTGGTGCTCGTGTGGAATATCCTAATTGATGAAATCAACGATACGAACACGTATCTTCTGGAGAATGCAGAGACGCGCTCGTCACTTCATCCCAAGCATGCCGGCAGGGCGATTATCGGATCAATTTGTCTGCAGAAAATAGTGAGAGTGAAGAATATCCTCGTGGAGTCTGTCTGGATGGTGGATGTGCCGAATTCAAAAGTAATCCTAACGCAGTTTGAGGAAATGGAGAAGAGTGTGAAGCTTCAGGTGCGCGAACTTCGCGACACATGGGCGAATTCTGTGAAGGAAGAAGTTGTTCAGTGTCTCAATAGAGCTCTCATGATTCGCAGTGTCTCTCGTCCGGGATTACTGGAGTGCAACATCGATAGAAAAGTGTTGAATCTCTTCGAGGACATCATCTACTTCCAGTACCTGGGCTTTCCCATTCCAATTCATCTGAATCTCTTCTTCAGCCGATATGAATCCACGAAACTGATCTTTGAGAGTGTTGTCACGGTTGTGCTGGATTACAATAGAATCCTCACGGGACTGTCAGACAAGGAGAGATTGCTCTTCAAGGCGCTGATTAAACTCTGCGACAAGAAAGTCACGATGGGAATTTACAAGCTGAACTGGACTGGAGATTTCAGTGACAATTACATCCAGGATTGTGTGATGTACACGAGTCAAGTGCAGGAATTTGTGAACATCTACAAGATGAGCAACAATAAGATCGTTGAGATCAGCGAAAAGATCTGCGATCTGCCCATTTTGCAGATCTCCACGGCTTCTGCGGTGGATCTGAAGAGCCTGGAGGACAATATAATGTTGGAGAGAGAGAAGGCTTTCGCCAAATTGACGGATCTTTATAGAGAAGTCGTGGATCACATCGTGACGGTGTATCAGGGATTCGAGGATCAAATGGAGAATGTGAGTAAATGAAGCTAGATAATACTCGAGATGAGTAATAAAACTGCCGTTTAATGTTTTCACAAACACTTTACGGGGAGATTCTGGAGAGCGTTTTATTGCTCATCTTTATCGCACGTGCTGAGAGTCATTATTCCTTTGCAGATGATGGACGAATGGTCAAAGTATGTGGAGAAGATCGACGCTCTGCTGCTGGAGGCATTCCACTGCAGTGTCAAGTGTGGGCTTGAGAGTGTCTTCACGCGCATTCATGGCGATGGAACTCTCGGTCCGGCTCCGCTTGTCAAAGTGGAGGTGCATCTCGTGGAGAATCGTCTCTCCTTCACACCCTCCATCGATGACGTTCTCTCTGTGATCCTCCAAGTGTTCTCCGACATAATGGTGGTGCTGAAGGGATTTCCGCGCCTCGTGAATCATCTCAATCTACCCAAGATGGAACATATCAACAAGTTCCATGAGATTCTCACGAATGATGACGAATGCCTGGGAATTTTCTCAAATATCCAAGACGAACTGCGCCACATGGAGTTCTGCTTGGCGGCATATTGCGACACTTGGACCCCATTCCGGTCGCAGTGGGAACTGGACAAAGATGTCTTCATGGAGAGATACGAGGCAACTGATCCCACACCGGAAATGTTTCACATCAACATCAATCGCTACACCGAAGTGGCGAATCTCGTGGCCAATCAGGAGAATGTCTCCATTGTCGGCTTCCTCGCCGTGAATTCCGTAAAGCTGAAGAACACACTCATTCAGCACATCGACGAGTGGCAGAATCGCCACACGCATCTGCTAAAGACGCGATCGTGCTTCAAAATTGAGGAGATTTATGCGTACATGGAGGAAATGGGAAGCACAATCGTCGTTAAGCCACGCACAGCTGAAGCCATGAGAGCCGCTCTTGATTTGCACAGTCGACTCATGGATGAGGTGGCTGAGAAGGAGGCGTCTTTCCAGACCATAAAGGACCATTTCGCAACGCTAGGTAAGGCTTTTCTGTATTACTCTGAAGTTTAAATCCAGAATCAACTTGAATTTATGATTGTTGCACAACGATCGCATGTTTGAACTGTAATTCATCTGAACAAGCATTTTTTTTTCTTCATTGATATCACGAGATTGAGTTTCATTCATTTTTTTGGAATCATTCATACGAATGACTGAAAATTGTCAATCTCTCAGCTTTTTTCTAACAATTCTCAGGTCAATATTTATTTTGAGAGACACATTGAGTGAAAATTGGGTCAGACAGAATGTCTACATAAATTCAATGGTCGAAAAGGCGTTTTCCACGTGACTGGAATGCAAGAAGATCCAGTTTTGTATTTCCCAAGACGCCAAAGCGACAACTTGTTTCAATTTTGGCAAAGGTAAATGAAAGGCAAACATCATGATTGATATTGTAGATCAAATTCAGAGATATCGAGTGAGTTTTCGGTCGAATAGAATTTAGATGGAATCGAAGATAGCATTGCGAAGGCAAATGCGGTTCTCGAGTGTTAATAAAATTCATAATTAAACACACTTTTTTGCCGATGAGCAATAAAAGAGGAACAAATTGACCGCAAGAGACTCTCGCGGAGATACATTAATAACAGAGTTGGGATCACAGAAAAAAGAGGAAAGAAAAAATGGATGAATTCAGTTTGAGGAATGCAATGCGAGAAAAAACAGTGCAGAGATTGAATTGTGAAAGGCTCGAAAGTGTTTCTTCTTTTCCTCTCTTCGCCTGCGTGGAAATCAAAATGCATTTTATGTTATTCACTTTGTGCAATATAAATCCACCCATCAAATCGTAAATTAGATCCTCTGGGCTGTTTTCTGCTCAATTTCTCAATTGAGGTCTTTTGAGTGCAGTTTTTTTTGCAATAAAGTTCTGACACATTGATTGGTTTTCTCTTGCAGATAAGCACAACATCAGCGTGTCTGGGAAAATTCAGAAAATGCTGTACAACTTGGAGGCCACATGGAGCATTTATCTGGACAAGTTGAAAGACTCCGGCGAGATGTTGATGACGTCGAAAGATCAATTTTTCATTGAATAACACCGCGAGAGATGTGATTTGTGGCCAGTGCAAAAAGTGATCTTTTCCCGGCCTGTTTTTTCTCCCTTCAGCATCGGCACTATTTTTAACTTGCAGGCCAGGAAAGACTTGCCGGCAATATTTGAAGAATGGTGGATTGATTGATGGACACTCTTTCAATTTTATTTTACGCGTTTTATCTACTTTCGCAACGCAGTGCACATTTAACGGCACCATAAATATGCATAAAGGATATTGCCCTGTTATTAATGTCTTTCCCACCGCATTTTCTATTTCTGAAAACCCAACGTTGATAGTTAAAAAGCTTCGAGTGTGCATTTTTTTCTGGCATATTTCTCTGTTATAATATAAAAGTTATCGTACATTTATTTCTTCACTTCTATATAAATATAGAATATTTTACAATTCGATTTGAAAAGAATGTTTGTGCAGATTGACGATTCTTTCCGTGTGAAACATGATAATGTCACAAACACTGGATGATCTCATACTTCCGCGAGAGTTCTGATAGAGTTTTTATCAGGAGTTTTCACGCCAATCTCATTTCTCTTTCTTCCATCTTTCACACCAACCCAGTGGATTCTCTCTCTTGTGTGACGTGCCACATGACTAGAAATTAACAAATCTAAGAGATTCTCTCCCCATCCAATCAGACGCTCTCACTTTCGCAATTTTGTGTGCGCATTAAGTCAATCGGTAAAGTGGCAAAATTGCAGCCAGGAAATGATGAAAATACATAGAGATCAAAATTTGATTTCCCTCACGGATTCATCGATGATCCCCACTGAATCTTGTCCTCTCGTCTCGGGCATCGTCCCGATCTCCGTATGTAGTTTCCGAACTCACAAATGGGCAACATACATCGTCCATCCTGGATGCATCTGCAAGATCGAACAAGAGGAATGGAGTGGTGGGATGTGTAAATTTACATAGGGAAGCAATTATGATATTTCATCTTTATGCAAATTTTATGACACTTTCATTTATAATCTTCTAATATGTCGCGCAAATATTATTCTTCTTGCAAAATTACTGCAATACATCGCACTCTGAGCTCGGGCGCGACAAATTATTGCCACAAGTGCGAAACTTTTGTATATTTATGGACATGAGACAAAAGTAATAAATACATACATCTTGTGCTATTTTACACATAATTGAGGAAAACATGCACCCATTGTGAATGTCTCTCACCTTCTGTCCTCCAAGGAGAATCCCTCGTCGCCCTCCTTGAGCAATTTGCAGTCCTCACTGGATCGGCCACAGTCACACCGGCACGAGCCGTCGTCGTGGAAGGTCTTCTCGAAGAATCGCGGACACTGGCAGGACTGGATGGGCGCTGGCGCGAGCACGGGCAGCTCCAGCGCTCGGAAGAACTCATGTCTGCTCACGCAGTGACACTGAGTGTGATTGACGAATGTCAGGCGCTCCGTTCGAGTGGGGCGGCCCAATCTGGTAACCTGCAATCATTCAATCAGGCAATTACTCTCGCCTCGGGCGCCAATGGCTCGTCACTCAGCCTACATGAAAGTAGAGATCGACAGTTGTGGTGTTGCGGGCCGTGCAGATGAGTCCCTCGCTGCCGCAGCAGCCCGTGTCATCGCCACAGCGATGCAGAATGGTGCAATGGGGTGCGTACGCCTTGGCAGTGTCGTTATTGGGCACGGGGATGACTTTGGCGCGGGGCCACTTGCACTCAGCCTCGTTCAGGATCCGCGATGTGTGCTGCATCGCCAGCTCGCGCTCTCGAGCTGCACATCATGTCCCCACAAATGATCGGAGTGTGCAGAAAAGAGCCATTCAGTTATGGATGAAATCATCAGTTGTTGAGATTAATTTGTCTGTCCCCCAATGAAAATGCTAATGTGTGCCTAACTGTTGACTCTGGTCGACGGCTATTAAAATTTGCCATCTTGTGTCACAATAAATTCTTGTGTAATTGTTCAACTACTGAAAAAATACACATCCAAAGACTTCTCATCAAATTCTGCGTCACTCTCCTCCCGCAGAGTGAATTTTATCACAGTGCAATTTCTATACACATAACTTCATTAAATGGTGCTTGTAAGTTCCAATAAAATTTGCATATTTATATCCCAGCGCTCAGTAACACGGTAAACCTTGTTCTTTTCCCAAAGCTAAACCAACACTCTTAGATTCCAATACAATCTCACCTTGAATTTTTCTCATATTCACCATATATTCGTTGCGCGACTGCTGAACACCTTCCGGCGTTCCCAATGTCCTCAATTTCAGCTGTGTCAGATCTCCTGTTCGATATCCTGGCGCATGAATATCCTCAACATTCTGCAACGAAAGACGAAAGCATCAATTGATCAATCATCGCGTGATACATTGTGAGGTGATTTGTTAAATGGCATGGCACTCAAATGAATGAATCTATTTTGGAATGTGGGCTGATGACAAACATGAAGGAGAATTTATGGGTGCGATTCTATCATGGAACTTTGTTTAGTTTTCTTCGACACACAATAAAATACTACAAAATTCCCATTGAGAGATGTTTGATATGCCACATCCAATGACATTTTCCTTCCCCACATCAAAATCATATTCATAGATGCAGAGTATATTAATAATTTCCTCCACAGCGACACACTCTGTATGTTTATGCAGCCGTAATATGATCGTATCGCTGCATCTGCTCATCTGCAACCACTCCTGACGCGCTTTGTCATTAACCTCAGGTGTGAGTCTGTGCCAATATTATCACATGTGAGTGTGTTGCCAACATAAGTGACTAAATTTAAATCAAAAGGAAGCATATGTCGCCCACTGCATTAACATGGAGCAAGCGCCAGAAATTCCAATTCAGTCTCTCACTCATTAACTCAATTTACACACGATAAATACTAGCATATTTTGGTCAAACAGCGTGGGCATTTTCAACCATAAGAAACACTCTCGCAGCTTGATTTGGAAGAAAGAGACATTTCACACATTTGCTACTAATTTACTGTATCAAACATGGTTTTGTAAGAACATCACTCTTCACGATAGCCAATTAGACCAAATTTGATGAATTTGTTAATGATAACTCGAGATGTTTCCCAAGTTTAGATCGAGTGAAAGTTGCGAGATTGGTGCTTGAATTTCAGCCAAAAGGTAACTTCAAGGTATTTCTGGGTTAATGTTTACACATAGCAGGATATTGAACTCTAACACAAGGTAAAGTCATACAAATTGGTACTCATTATCCTAGATGAGAGAGAGAAGATTGCTCACATCACTTCACATCTGATCGGAAATTGTCTTTAGTGGCAATTTTCACATCATTTTACATGAAATGATAATTAATTGAGAAAATTACCGCTCAATTGCAAGAACTAATCAGATTTCAACGTTTACGACACAGTATCGTCGGAATTAAAATGACCAATTAAAGTCGATTGAGTATTACTGTAGCTCGGCAAAGAGTAAACATTAGATGGAGTTTTGGAGCTGAAGCATGATATTCTGAGGCAGACACTGAACATGGCGAGATGGCAATCGCCACAGTGATTGATGGTGAGGAGTCCGAAGAGTTTCCTGCACCGAATAGAATTGAGTGTGCGTCCTACATGCCAAAGGGAGAGTCCATAAAATTGCTAGAAGAAGACACACTCATCATGCACTCCGAGGAATGTCTCGCCAGCCAACGTCCAAAGAGATCACAATGGTATCATATAGTTAGAATGCAATCTTCATTCCATCGATACTCTTGTCGTGTGTGTCACACTAATCGCCCCGCTCATTGTCTCTCTGGCAGGATGAGACTCTTGCGTGGTAGATGATTGCCGTGCAGCAATTGTCAGGGCTCAATTGAACCACCCAGCGGAGTGACAATGGAACTGCGTGCATTAGAGAAATCATCTCTCCGGCCGCCAGACGAGTGTAATTCTTGAGAGACACACTCGAGCTAATAGGAGTCAGTTTTTGTGATACCGAGAACACCAGAGGGAAAAGGCAAAATTGAAAATTATTATTGGTGTTTGCCCAAGGAACATAAGGTGACTCGTGACCATCACAAAGAAGTGCATGTTGACCGAGGAATTTATTTACCATGCTCTTTTTTCCTATCTCGCCCATCCTCTCTCCTTGCTTCTTCATCATCCACCACAAATCACACGCACGCACACACACATGGCAAAGTGTTAAGCGCTTGAATCAGAAGAAATCGTGAATGAAATAGTGCTTTTCTCAACGTCATGCCCTGTGGAAGATGAGCGGCAAAAAAAGATCAGCTACAATTCATTTTAATGTCTCTGCCGATGGACGCTGAAGGTGTATTGCATTATCGAAAGAGTGCCTCTCTAAGAGACTCGTAATGAGAATTTTTATGAACCCAGAGATCGGTGAGACAATAAAAAGGGAAGCCGATACTCGGCCTCCTCGCAAAGAGGAGGAAATTAAATTAGCTGGTGGTGTGTGAACGAAAAGTGCCCATAACTTTTCCATCGCTTGTGCTAAATGGGCTCCACCCGAATTGTCTATATTTAGCTGTTGTGGCAGATGAAAAGCCATTTATTACCTCCAGCCGATAGTTCAACGGACACCGCCTAGAAAATCATACATACATACACTTTTAGAGGATATACAGCGTGGGCACTAATTATAGCTCCACTAGGTATCCAGGGTGTAGGTAGTCTGGAGCAAAAACAAAAAATATCAAATATGGCGTTTGATTGCCTATCCATAGCCAAAACAAAACCCCCAATATGAGGCCCCTCCGCCAGATCCTAGGGATTCTAGGGAACTTTATCACTTTCTGGCCTGGCACTAATTATAGATCCACTTGGGAAATTTCACTATATCTCAGCGAAAAAAAATCGGAAAATTCTGAAAATCACAAGGATCCTTCATTTTGAGCCCAGAAACCATTTACCGTCGCCATACCCCGCCTCGGTCCTCCGTGGACCCCACTATTTAAGGTCTTTGCCTTGCATAACATGATCGCCCAATATGGCTCCTCCGCATTGGGGCGGGGGGCGCAATGGCCATAAACTGCTTCACAGAACTTGATTGAAGCCTTTTGAGCATAATTGGGATTTCTGGCGCCGATACCCTTTCTGAATCCTGGCCTTAAGCACTTCTTCCAGGGTCTTTTTCTGCTTCTAAGAGCCCAAACCACCCCAACCCCCGGACCACCCCCAATGAAATGGGGCGAAAAGTTCTTGGGACACTTCTAGGAAACCCGTGGACCCTAGATCCGGGGATGGGTAGCGCCTCGGAGGGAGCGCCACACCGTGGAATGAGACCCAGTCGAAAACCACCTAAAATTGTATGGTTTTTCATTGAATTTCAACTGGCTCTCGTTCTACGTTAGGGCGCTCCCTCCGAGGCGCTACCCGCCCCCGGATCTAGGGTCCACGGGTTTCCTAGAAGTGTCCTAAGAACTTTTCGCCCCATTTCATTGGGGGTGGTCCGGGGGTTGGGGTGGTTTGGGCTCTTAGAAGCAGAAAAAGACCCTGGAAGAAGTGCTTAAGGCCAGGATTCAAGGATGGTATCGGGGTCAGATAGCCCAATTATGCTCAAAAGGCTTCAGTCTTGCCCTATGAAGCAGTTTATGGGCATTGGGCCCCCCGCCCCATTGCGGAGGAGCCATTTTGGAATATCGTGTTATGCAAGGCAAAGACCTTAAATAGTGGGGTCCACGGAGGACCGAGGCGGGGTATGGCGACGGTAAATGGTTTCTGGGCTCAAAATGAAGGATCCTTGTGATTTTCAGAATTTTCCGATTTTTTTTCGCTGAGATATAGTGAAATTTCCCAAGTGGATCTATAATTAGTGCCAGGCCAGAAAGTGATAAAGTTCCCTAGAATCCCTAGGATCCGGCGGAGGGGTCTCGTATTGGGGGTTTTGTTTTGGCTATGGATAGGCAATCAAACGCCATATTTGATATTTTTTGTTTTTGCCCCAGACTACCTACACCCTGGATACCTAGTGGAGCTATAATTAGTGCCCACGCTGTACTAATAGAAATTCTACACGGAAACCCGTTAAAATTGCCTCCCATCTCACATTACCATCCCGTCAAGTTATCTCACCGCCAAATTCCACCCAAAGAGCGATTCTCTTCAGGGGAGCGAGAAAAGCCAAGACTTGCCGCACAGCATTTTCTAGATAGATAAACTCCACCATCACATGATGCGAGTGTGAATTGTATTTGTCCAGTTGAACTGAAATTCAAAGTATGGATTACACCAAAGAACACTCAATACTCTGTTTACCTTTCTCACTTCACCATCATCGCATGCGATAAACAATCCCTTACGGACTTGATTGCGCGGCCAAGGGAAAAAGTGTTGCGTTACACATTTGTTTTCTTATCACAAGGAAAACAATGGTGCATCCTGTCTCCATCTTCTTGTACTTATACCCTTGCTCAACCATAAAAAAGGTCTCCGATGGAGACACTTGTGTACTGTTTTCATGATGCGACAATCAACACGCAATGGATGTTTGCATCCAGCAAGAGAAGGTATACATAGTGAAGGGTGGAGAGAGAGAGAGAGAGAATAATAGATGGTAAGGAATCTTGTTTAATGCTACTCCTTCTCCGCCAGCTCCTCCGGCCACCCGTCAAAATGGTTTATAGTCCACAAACAATGCCACCCACTCACTGGAAGTCACTCGAGACATTTCCCAGATCTCTAATGCTATCACTGATTAGGAGATTTAAGATATCCTCGGAAGAACTTTCCAGAGATACTGCAAAAATAGCCACATTT